CACCAGTGCTCCTATTACACCACAAATACGTTCCACAAATACTACACAATAACTGAATCATAACGAGGGGTGCCACTTTACGGTGCGTCGCCCCCTTGGTGTACAAAATATGTGGCAAGCTCGATTCGCCGGGTGCGGAGAATGTAAATTCGTTGGGGAAAAACCCGCAAGGGTCAGCGTTAGCTTAATTACAGCATACAGCTACAGCTACGGTACTAGCTACAGCATACAGCTACAGCTACGGTACTAGCTACAGCATACAGCTACAGCTACGGTACTGGCTACAGCATACAGCTACAGCATACAGCTACAGCATACAGCTACAGCATACAGCTACAGCTACGGTACTAGCTACAGCATACAGCTACAGCTACGGTACTAAAGTACGGTAATAGTAATACACTATATGAATGTATGACATATTTCAAACGCGCTGTAGCCTGTAACCGTACCGTATTTATCTCTACACTGAGGCTACAGACGTACAGTATACGTTCCGTACAGATATTCTACATTACCACACTAGTAGTAGTAGTGTGGTAGTACTACTACTAGTACCGTACGCGCACTATTAATATCGGACGCCTTCTAAAACACAACTGCATGGCCGCCATCACTCTCAGGCGTCTCCTTTTTCGCGCCGTTTTCTCTATTGTTCTGCCTTCCTGGAATCGTCCTCGCGGCTAGCGCCATCTCCCGTGAAATAAACTGCACATCGATGCACGATTCTAAAAGCGAATCTGCTACAGTAGCAACAACGCGGTTTTAACGACATGTAAAGGCAATGAGGCAATCTGAACGCCACGACGTGTAAGCTTGATTGTTTATATCGCAGGATTAGTGAATAAACTGTCAGACGTTGACAACATGCCGTACACGACAGTCTTGTATGGAGCAGGACCAGGCTATAGGGGCGCGCGATCCCCTAATCTCACCGAAGCCGAGTCAAGTAAGTGTCAATTATGGAAGCGCTACGAAATATGCATGAGAAAGAACGCACACCTTTCATTACAATCTAGGAATGTGAATCTACAACTTTAACATTAACATTACCGTAATTAACTAACCGTTTATTCACTATTTAATTAATTAATTAATTATCAATTAAATTCTAGCTGACCCACGCTACGTGCAAGAAGCGGCAGTGCCATTGGATTCGGAGCCTCATGGCGGCGAGGATGTAGCCGTGTTTGCTAATGGACCGATGGCACATCTCTTTAGAGGCAACTTCGAGCAGACGTTTATAGCGCACGCGATGGCGTACGCCATGTGTGTGGGAAGCAACAAGCAGCACTGCACCGAAAAGGTAAACAACTGAGAAGCATCACGTGAAATATTACTGCGTCGAATTTTTGCGTACAATTATTATCTCGTCGAATTCATCCCTTGAACTTGCACAACGTTCCTGCGAGATGCGTAGTACACGGATTTGATCGATCACTACGACATTTCACGGAGCTTATTTAATGAATAAGCACGGCCAAATATACTCTAATATTTATGAGTTAGGACGTGAACAAACATAATGGACAGCAACACGCATTCATTGCCGGGTATCGGCTAAGGTAAGGAAGATGAGAAATGATTTTGTTGCCGCTAATCACTGCACGAGTTACTAAATTCGGATGACGTTAAGTGTACTCGTTATCCTCGAGAGCCAGTGTAATGGCGTCTCGTATTTTCCCCTATAACTGCACTTGCGCGTATACGATTCATTGCACCGGGGTTCAGAAACTCCTGCCTATCGTGACGAAAGCAGGCGTAACTATGTATGCCAACGAAACAAAAGATTGCTTAAATATATTGCATGCTTTTGCGCAGTCTATCGTCGTTAGAAAACGTTGCGTTGAAAATGTTTTCTGCTTCGTACAGCGATTGCCCTTCGCGTATGCTTGTACGGGACTATTCTTGCATCGACATATTATACTAAAACAAAGCCAGAATTAAATCTTGAATTTTTTCATTTTTAAAAGTTGCTACCACCTGTAATACACCAAGCAATGCTTACAGAAATATCCTCAAATAACGCTTGGCTAACATGCGTACGCTGGCAAAATGTAACTAGGTTATATAGTTCTTATGTCAAAAGAGAGTACGCTTGAGTGCGCAGTACGCTTGTTTTGAAGAGCACGTTACTAGAGCTTATATTATATGCGCGCCAGATGTGCGAATATTTAGCTTTGTTGTTATTAATCGCGCCAGCTATAATGAAAAAAGCTTTCTTTGTCTTCAATTTTGCAGGTTGGGATTTGTGCGGCGCTGACGTCATCATCTCCTCGCCAAACAAATGCGATGACATACGTCAGAGTTGTGATACTTATATTTACTAGCAGCTATATTGCCATGTTATTAGCATAATCGGGTAAGCTTTCGGAATGAGTCGCAACTCACTTATTGAAATTATGTAAATGGCATCACCGATGAGGAACTGTTTATCCACTGGCTAATGAATGGTAATATCCACGTGCAGTAAGGTCCACGTACATGTGTGGCGTAAAGATTTGAATTTGGTCGCGTTTGTTGATTGTAAAAAAAAATAATTGTGCTTATATTTCTCATCTACTTTTATATATGACCTCTGATCTGCCCTCGTATTTTTCCGTAGCCCAAGTTGCAGACATTGCATTTGACTAGTAGGTTAGATAGAGAGCGCCTATTTAAGAATGCAATACGACAGATCATCGCTCTTGTGCTGGTACCGCAAATAAAACGTTGACCTAGAGTTATCACTGACTCCTGAACCAGACGAAGACCTAATTTTAGTGAACCGTGAAGGGAGAGGGGTCGGTCGATGGGGGAGGTAATGGGAAGCTGCGAATGGGAGGAGTAGGAAAAGGAAGGAGAAGAAAGAATCATGAATCTCTCGCACAGCCGAAGAATTTATACATGATACGAACATAAGCCGTCACATTTCTACAGTACAGTACAGTACAGTACAGTACAGTACAGTACAGTACAGTACAGTACAGTACAGTACAGTACAGTACAGTACAGTACAGTACAGTACAGTGCAGTGCAGTACAGTACAGTACAGTACAATACAGTACAGTACAGTACAGTACAGTGCAGTACAGTACAATACAGTACAGTACAGTACAGTACAGTGCATGGTTATACTGCAGTATTAATACTAGCATTAAAGCCGCGTTAGTTCACTACACCAATATAGGCCTACATCCTCACTTTTCAAAAAGGCTATCACCTTTTTATCCGTTTACTAGCCGCTACCAACAATAAAACTGCCGTAACTCATTATGTCAGTTCTTCAAACACAAACTGTGTATCTGTATGTTGCATCATCGGGCGCTACACCTATCAACATGACACCTATCGCCAAGAAACATGTAGGTACTACCATCTGATGCGGCCACCACGTTGCAGACGGTCTTCAATTAGCTTCATGTTTGCGCATAGCATTATTAGTTGAAAACGAACAAAACTGTCGAATTACCCTTTTACCAAATCTACTCTACTCTATTCTATTCTATTCTATAATATATATATATATATATATAATATGAATATATAATATAAATATATAATTAAATATAATGATAATATAATGATAAATATGTAATTATATACATAACAATAGAACTACATGACAATAGATAACTAAAACAATAGCGCCATTCATGTATATATAGGTTATAGTATATATATAAGGTTTATTCTTCATTAAAGTCTGTCTGATGATCGCGTAAGCGTGAAACTCGGGGTAACAGCTAGAAGTGATGTCTTGTCTTTAATTTATCTACAGACTACAATTTAATATATGTATGTATATATATATATATATATATATAGATATAGATATATATTCTTTCCGGCCTGTGATGCGCATGCGGTTGAAAATTTTACGCCAACAGGTGTAATGTTGATCAATAGTGGCTTTATTTTCTACGCGAATATGGTGAGTACATTCGGTGAACTAAAAAGGAATACAAAGACAAAGAACTGTCATTTTAATGAAATGACCAATTTAGACATGACTTTGCTGTTAATTATTATTTAAACTAGTTGCCGTAACCTAAAGGATGAGAAATTAATATAAAAACACATCTCAGCCTCATTTAACCTGTATCATTGTGTCATACACTTACAAAACATTCGGGCCACGTAGTGTGCATGCGCAACCGGAGCGACAGTATGCGACGAAGTATCTGCATGCATGAATTTTTCGCTTTCGCATACAGAACACCGAAACAGACGGTATGTTAACCATAAAGGTTCAGCATAAACAACGTTACATCATAAACCAGAAGCGAGGTAGACCCACCCTCGGGTTCATATCTGACAACGAAATAATACCCGTCCTTATATATGACGTAACAACACCTCTTTTAGGCAGTTTTGCTTTCAATTGCGGTATTTTCAAATCACTGTAAAACCTACTTGTTGATTGCAACGCTGTGCCGAACAGTCTGCTAGTATGTCGATGTAGACAAGAAATCTGGCTGAGCATAGAGAATATACACGCCGTGTAGTGTATAATAGGATCTTCATGTGGCAGAGTGCCTTATATAGTACACGCGCGCCCTCTGGTGGGCCCGGGGAGGCACAAACAATTTAAGGTGCCTGGAAATGCTTTCCCATAGGTGGCCATAATTACGAAAAAATTTCCATAAATCAGCACAAGGCTTTTTTAGAAATAATAATGCCATCCTCTGAATACACGTCGCAAGTGACAATATATATGTTATTAACAAAAAAATTCTTCCATAATTTCTCTTGTAAACAAAACTTTCCCAGAGCACACGAGAAATAGCCAATTTACAACTTGAATCTGCACAAAAAGTAGGCTTTCTTTGAAAATTTATGGGCCGCGCCAGCAACGCACCTCGGACGAGCCGTTTACACTGTCGGATTCAGAAAAGATTCTAGTTTCTGAAATTAACAATTGCTATAAGAGATATATGACAGATCAAGCAGGGGTCTTCTGTAAAAAAAAGTGTTGTCATTCTTCGTTTATCTTCTCGCGTCTGTCATTTCTTCTATAGGTCTTTTTGAGCCTGATGAGCTGCCTACTGTGCTTAACAAGTCTCCTGCTGAGGCTGGAAACCCAACCCTCGCAGAGATGCTGCGGAAAGCTATTCAGATCCTACAGAAAAACCCCAACGGCTATTATCTGTTCGTCGAAAGTAGGTTTGTTCGATGAAAGCGATACGCCACACGCTCGATGTTTAACTTCCCAGCTTTCAAGATGTAATGAGAAAATGCGAATGTTTGCTGTTTTTGTACGCATTGCGTATACCTGTTAGAGGGGGCATTTCACGTAAACCAGGTGACACATAAATATAATATCAAGAGCTAATAATACCTTTTAGGTAATGCTAATAATAATTTTATCTATAAATAGGTATTATTAGCTCTTGATAATATGAGTGTAGCGATCATTTTCACCATTAAATAAATAATTAACTAGGCGCAATGCACACTGCTTAGTTCGGAATCGAGATGATCAAACATCTGACAATAACGGGGAGAATAATGAAGTCTCAATGTGGCAATGATATTGTAATAGATGAACAAGGTTTGCTGCTGTGAATTTTGCCGTGAAAAGTCGAAAACAGAGGTAAAGATTATTGTGTTATTGTCATTATGGGACTGTTGATAATATGGAAGCTCGATAAGTAATTTGGAATAAGGCTCGATAATTGATAGCTGTAATTATTTTCCCACGCAAAATTCTTGCCCGACTATTTTACTACGCATTTCTTGTGGTGTGTGAGACTGTGAGTAACCTTTCGCGACTCGTGGCGTAGCAGGCGGCGGCAGTTTGAGACACAAATCACATCCCGCCTACAGGGCCGTAGCCTGTGTGTGTGGGGGGGGGGCAAAGGGAGCAGCTGCCTCCCTTAGATTTTGGAGCAAAATTAAAAAATGAGCTTAGCTAATAATGGGAAATAACCCTAACGTGATTTTTTGGTCACTTGTCCGTGATAGCCTTGTCTCAGACCCACGTCACCCACCCCTACCACACTATGGACATTATCTCGTCATTATCCAGTTGAGTCATATGAAATTTTGCCCCCCCAACCCGCCTAGGAATTTGCTCAGCCTACGGCCCTGTCCTACATCTGCTAACCTACATGTATGGGATGATCCTATAGTCGTCAGGCCTGCCTCTATCCCGGACTCTCTCTCTCTCTCTCTCTCTCTCTCTCTCTCTCTCTCTCTCTCTCTCTCTCTCTCT